CCGAGCCCCTCGGTGGACATATCTCCGGCGATGGTGGAAGGTGATGTCCGGGTGGAGGTGGAGTGCCTCTGGCATAGGACCCGGCCAGTGGTAGCGTAGCCGTAGCAAGTCAGAGGCCGAGTAGCGAAGCAGACCCGCAGACCCGCCACTGGTAGGTATCTATCCAGCTTTGCCCCCCGTCAAATCCAATGTGGGCTTTGACTGGATTTCAAAATTTCATTCTTTTTGTGTGTCCGGCCCCAAAGTTGTCTATCCAGAAAAATGTTGGCCCTTCAAGAAATAAAGTTGGTGTAGGTCAGTGGTTCTCAAACTTTTTATACTCTGTACCACCTGAGAATACATTGAGCTCTCTGAATATCACCATGATGACCAACATTAGATACATATCTAAATGTTTTTTTCTAAATGTTGTATTAATTGTGCATGGTATGTTTCAGATTTATTCAATTGAAAATGTAAATGTGAACATGTGAACAAATGTGAATTTTCCATGCATACCACAAGAGAGCGCTCGCGTACCACTGGTGGTATGCGTACCACAGTTTGAGAACCACTGGTGTAGGTGGTATTACTATCCATATTTTGACTGAATCACCTGTATTTTAATCAGTATTCATATTAGTGACTAGCGTGTGTACTAGCAACACAGGTTTAGTTCTGTAATAGTAGAGGAAGGAAATGATCCAATTAATGCTAAAATAATGTGTTTATCAACCTAACGCTGTTAGCTCAGATGGTGGGCGTCCACAGTTATCTACTGTATTAGTGTGACTGTGTGCAGACGGTCCTTCTTGGACTTAGTTTAATGTATCTGTGTTTGTTTAAGGTGTCTGGACTACGTGCTGGATGAGATTGCACTTCGCAGAAACGCCCACGTAATTGTTGCTTCCCATAATGAAGACACAGTGAAATACACCATCAGGAGGTAACACTACTGTGTCATCCAAGTCACCAAACACTGCTGAAAGCACTATTGATATAATTGTTTCTCTCTCATTCAGAATGAATGAGCTGGGTCTCTCCCCCATGGAAAACAAAGTGTACTTTGGTCAGCTGCTGGGCATGTGTGATCAGATCAACTTCCCCTTGGGTGAGAGCCATCCATCGTGACACACAAACACGCAGTTTCACTGTCAGCCGTTAGTGTTGATGTCATTGTTATTCTGCTGCAGTCTGGTCTTGATAAACTGAAAGGCTTTTACTTTTCTGTATGGAACATCCTCTCGGTGAACACTGTGTCTGGCTCTGTCAGGCAGAGATCTCAGCCAAGATGGAGGGAGTGACAGGAAGCGAGTAGCGGTTTGTGTCGTCTCAGCTCCTGGCCTTTATTTAATTCTTGTATTTTTCAGCCCTCTTGGAAAACGATGCCCGTGTGTCCTTCAAATACGTGACTTAAAACAAATCCTGTCATTGTTGCAGCCTGGAAATGTCATTGGATGTATGCAAAATGCCCCCTCCCCTGGGGGAGGGGAATATTGGACATCCCTAGTTTCTACCAAAACTATATTAATCAGTTTACAGCATTGTTTCCCAAAGATTGGGTCGTGACCCTCAGGTGGGTCTCAAGAGATTTTTTTTTGGGTCATCTCACATCATGTTTCCCAGGATTTTACCAATAATGTCTATTGACTTGGGTCGCAAAGGTTTGTGACTTTAAAAATATGGGTCCCCAGAAAAAAAGTTTGGGAAACACTGGTTTACAGCACCTACAAAGTCAGCCTGTCAGGCCGACTGACACAGGTTGGTCTGATGAAAGCCAGACTTCTGACCTAAATATTCGACCCCACAGACCCTGCAGGGGGTTGACATGGTATTTAAGCCTTGAGGCGCACTGGTGAAGCAAAAGCTTTTGTGTATCAACTGTATAAAACTAAAGATCAGCGTGTCGACTAAGGACGCCTGACTCTACCCAGCCGTTCAAAAGTGTTAAAATGTTAAATTTGATCAATTTCACAAGTTAACATGTTCATTTTGACAGCCCTGGTTCAGGAGCTGAAGCCTGGCTGATGAAAGGAGATGCCATGATGTCCTGTTATGTTGTGATCTAAGGCATTTTTTTTTCTAAAAGGAACTAAAAAAAGACGCCTTTCTCAGTACACGAGGTTTGTTGTCAAAAAACTGTCAGTATCAAATATTAACAACAGGAACAGCCTTTGGAGTTTCTGTTTTGATTTGTTTTCATGTGTGTGTTTCTTCCTCACTCCTGCCGTCTTACAAATGACTTTTTTTCTCACATCCATCTGTCTGCAGGCCAGGCGGGCTTCCCCGTCTACAAGTATGTTCCATATGGGCCAGTGGGTGAGGTGATGCCTTACCTGTCTCGCAGAGCCCAGGAGAACAGAGGCATCATGAAAGGTGTCCAAAAGGAGAGGAAGCTGCTGTGGAGGGAGCTAAAACGCAGGCTGGCCTCCGGGGAGCTTCTCTACAGACCGGTTTACTGAAAAGGCAGAAGAAAGACAGGAAGGAATGAGTGTTGTCAAACAGAGTTTTTTTTTTTTTGTTCTTCTTTGGTTGACGGCTTCAGCTCTGTCATTTACCTGCTGTCCTGAAGTTTTTCCACTGACAGACTCTTTCTGCGCGCCACTCTCCTGTTCTCTGCCGGCCTTATCTTTACCTCAGCTGATGTCCGTACGCCGTGCTTTTTTTACCTCTGCATCCTTACTTATTCCTGCCTTTATCTTCCCGTTGTCCAAAGACCTGTGGTATCCATCAACTGGGCATCTTTACTGCTCCAAAAGGACTCTCTAAAATGTCAACAAGCCTGCTTTTATCACCCTGTTCTTCCACAGGTGCAATCATAATAAACATAACAGGCTTGATTTAAATGGCAGTAAAAGAAACACCAATAATTCCCACCTGTATTGTCTTTTCACTCCGGAGCAGCTCGTGCCCTGAGGTGGATGTACGTCAGTGTTTTTGTTTGTTTTTTAAATATGTCTGTTGATGAATCGATGAGAAGATATGGCTGATCTTTAGACCAAATTCTTCTCCCGCTAACAGCCTACTCTGTGTTACATTAGTTGAGTGGAGTGATATTCCTGGGAGTATATTCCTAAGGTATAATTAATTGTCCTGGAAATACTATTACTACTGTACTAAGGGATAATGTATGTGAGCTGTGTTTTGATTTTATTGCATTTGGGTGTTAAATGATGTCATTTTGTTAATTACTACTGTATTTTAGTATAGTAAAGGTGGGACAGTATTAAAAGAAATACTGTAATTCATGAATGGCTTTGTTATCAACTAATCGTGAACAATTGCCTTTTTATCAGTTTTTTTTGTTTACAGCATTCACAGAGCCACTAGTACTACATTTAAATGTTTTTTTTGTTTGTGAATTATGTGGTCCAGTGGTTCTGAGAATGGGGTAGGGGGACCCTTTGGGTGAACGCAGCTACACGTTCTCATTTTTGAGGACAACAACAGGACTTTTGTGTTTTCAAAAAGTACATCGCAGTGATCAGAGAAAGTTTCCTGACATAACTTGGTCCTTCGAGCCGGATCGACAAAATCCAAGACATCGTTGGAAAACCGGGAGGGTTTCCAGCTATCCTACGTTTCGTGGGTACGTCGATCCCAAGATAAAGAATTACTGCGCGCAGTGAAGTGAGTATAATACATGCAAGTGTGTGAATAGTTAGCGGTGCTTGGTGACGTCGATCCCGAGAAAGAATTAATGGGCGCAGGGAAGTAAGTATAATACACGTAAAGTTTGTGAATGGTTGAAAAACCGCGACAAAAATAGAATAGGTCCAGTAATAGGTAATGGTGTCTGATGTGAGGTCTTAGTATCGTTTAGACTTTCCTACTACAAACTAATAGTGTCTGATGTGAGGTCAGGGACCGTTTAGACATTTGTGAATGGTTGAAAAACCGTGACCGAAGAGAGTCAAAAATAGAATAGTAGGTCCTAATATAGGTAATGGTGTCTGATGAGAGGTCAGGGACCGTTAAGACTTTCCTACTACAAGCTAATAATGTCTGATGTGAGGTCAGGGACCGTTTAGACATAAATCTATTAGTGTCTGATGTGAGGTCAGGGACCGTTCAGACGTATGTGAATGGTTGAAAAACCGTGACTGAAGAGAGTCAAAAATAGAATAGTAGGTACTGAAATAGGTAATGGTGTCTGATATGAGGTCAGGGACCACTTAGACGTAAATCTATTAGTGTCAGATGTGAGGTTGAAAACGACCGTTCAGAGGTTTTGAGTGAATGAGAATTGTGTGAATGATTGTCTCCAAGAGAAATAAACTGTATATAAAGACAGTCTCGGAGACAATACAAGTTTTTAAGTATTTTCTTTGTTTTGATTGTGGTCAAAATTGAGAAAGTTGGTTCACAGTGACAGCTGTACTTGCGGTGCGTTAGGTACCGTAGAAACTTGGTACAGTCGATGATCTCTGTGGACTAGTGACTGATCGTTGACCACAATCTTTGTTGAAATATTGCTATTATTAAAATAATATTATAATTATAATTAACAATATAGTTATTTATTATTATTATTAATATTGTTAAAATATGGGACAAACACAAGGCAAAGAATTAACTAAGAAGGAGCGTAAACATCTCCAACAAGTTCAAAAACATCTACAAAAAGACCATGGGGAAGATAAAGACATAATGCAGTAAATATTGAAGGAATCGCCATTTTGAAATAAACGCTGCATAGTTAAAAATTTGGAAAAAGGCCAAAACAAAGACACTCCCACTAGGAGGAGTTTAGGGGCGTGTCTTCAGGGGGTAAACTATAGCCGAGGTAGCCTAGAGACTAGCAATTAGCTGTAGGCCTAAATAGCATAGTTGCTATTAAAACTAAGGAAAGTAGTGGTATTAATTAGCACTACTTAACTAGCATAGATTAGCATAGCATAACTAGCTTAATTAATGCTATGCTAAATTACATTGATGTTATGCTAAATAACATTGATGCTAAGCTAAATAGCATTAATGCTAAGCTAAACAGCATTGAGACTAAGCTAAATAGCATTAGGCTAAGCTAAATAGCATTAGCAAATCCTAATGAAGTTTTAATATAAATCAGCATAGCATAAGTTGGCTGAACTAATGCTAAACTAATTAGCCTGTATAATATTAGCATTAGCATTCAGAGTCCAGAGATTTGAGAATTAGCATATGTTAACATAGCAATACAAGCTAATTTAGCTCAGTTAGTGCTAAAACCAACACAGATAATAGCACGGCTGCTATGTAACTAATAAAAGATTAATAACTAACTAATCTGAAAACAAAACAGTAACATAACAATGGCTGGAATTAACAATACACCACGATTAAAAGATGATGAAGACATGCAGGAATTTAAATCCAGGTTTGACCAAATTTTTGAACGCAATACAGTAAAAAATGGTCTGATCAGGGAGCTAGGCCTCAGCAAAGAAAACAATGGCAACAGAATGATGAATCTGACTACGAGGAGGGTAATGACAAGTGCTATAATTGCGGTAGGAGAGGGCATTTTGCGAGAGCGTGTACAGGTCCTCGCAGACAGAAGAAACGACCGCAACAACGAAGGTGCTAGAGCACGTAGGGGAAGATAAGATGGTAACAGAACTGATGGGAGTCGCCCATACAAACCATGAGACGATAAACAGCAGAAAAAAAAACTGTGTCACTAGAAAGAATCAACACTGTAAATTGCCAGCCCCAACAACTATGAAACAACTAATGTCCTTCCTTGGAACATTTAGTTATTGCAGACAATGGATTCCAAATTACTCCAAATTATCTAGACCGTTATATTCTTTACTTTCAGGTCCAATGAGTTCTGCACCAGCTACTAAAATCACATTACAATCTGATCATTTAAGGTGCATGGCTCCATTGAAAACAGCACTACAATCCGTAGTCTCTCTAAAATTACCTGACTATAGCAAACCCTTTAGCCTTTACTGTGATTCAAAAGATGGACACGACTTCTGTGTTGACTCAAAAACACGGCCCATCACAACGACCATTGTGCTATTACTCCAAACGGCTAGATAATGTGGCTGCAGGCTGGCCACCGTGTGTACAAGCTGTTGTTGCAGCTGCAGAAGCAGTGATAGCTTGTGCTGACCTTGTACTTTATCACCTTCTCACACTTCATGTACCACATGCAGTCTCAGTACTGCTGAATCAGAACCGTACACTGCATGACTACATTACTTTCACAGCCTCATTTGACTGTTATTAGATGTACAACTTTGAATCCTGCTACACTTTTGCCTACATCACAAGATGATGAACCACATAACTTTCTAGACTGTTCTTTGACTACTTATTCACCCAGACCAGACCTGTCAGATCAACCAGTTCCTGATTCACTTTGGTTGTTTACTGATGGTTCATCTGTGAAAGACACTTTTGGTGTCACCTGTACTACATATGCTGTGACAACTCTTACTTCAGTGTTGCTCTCAGACACACTTCCATCTTCTTATTCTGCTCAAGCAGCAGAACTAAAAGCTATGTACATGGCGTTCCACTATGCTTCCGGTTTTCCAGTCACAATTTACACTGATAGTAAATATGTTTTTAATGCTTGCCGCACACACACAGCTATGTGGCATCTTTGTGATTTCTCCACATCATCTGGCAGTCCAGTAAAGCATGCTCATCTTTTGAAAGACTTATGCCATGCTCTCTCTCTTCCTTCAGCTTTAGCTATTGTACATTGCCCGGCACACACCGTTAAAACTGATCTTGTGTCCCTGGGCAATGCCTTAGCAGACTGTACTGCTAGAGCTATAGCTACTGGACAGCATGTGACTGATGTGGCTCTTAATCTATTGTCGACACATCAGGTTGACAATAGTGTTCTTCTACAACATCAATCTCTTATGCAACCTACTACTGATATGACTAAATCTGAAAATGGTATTTTATTTCATACTCCATCAGGTAAACCGGTACTGCCACCGTCCCTCTATTCTTGGGCTGCACATGTGTCCCATGGGCAGTGCCATGTGACAACAACAGGGATGATTGGAGTAGTACAAGTTTTTTACTGTTCAAATTTTTCAAAAAGCTGCACAGAAGTGCTGAACCAGAACCGTATTTCTTTTCTGTCGCCTGCGGGACATCTGCACTGCATGACTTTCACAGCCTCATCTGACTGTGATTAGATTGAATCCTGCTACACTTTTGCCTACATCACAAGATGGTGAACCACATAACTGTCCAGACTGTTCTTTGACTACTTATTTACCCAGGCCTGTCAGATCAACCAGTTTCTGATTCGCTTTGGTTGTTTACTGATGGTTCATCTGTGAAGGACACTTTTGGTGTCACCTGTACTGCATACGCTGTGACAACTCTCACTTCAGTGTTGCTCTCTGACACACTTCCTGCTTCTTATTCTGCTCAAGCAGCGGAACTGGAAGCTATGTGTATGGTGCTCCGCTATGCTTCTGGTTTTCCAGTCACAATTTACACTGACACAGTATACACAGATACAGTAAATATGTCTTTAATGCTTGCCACACACACACACACACACACACACACACACACACAGCTATGTGGCACCTTTGTGATTTCTCCACATCATCAGGCAGTCCAGTAAAACATACTCATCTCTTGAAAAACTTATGCCATGCCCTCACTCTTCCTTTCAGCCGGTAAAACTGATCTTGTCTCCCTGGGCAATGCCTTAGCAGACTGTACTGCTAGATCTTTAGCTACTGGACAGCATGTGACTGATGTGGCCCTTCTAGAGCTATAGCTACTGGACAGCATGTGACTGATGTGACAATACTGTTCTTCTACAACATCAATCTCTTATGCAACCTACGACTGATATGACTAAATCTGAAAATGGCATTTCATTTCATACTCCATCAGGTAAACCGGTACTGCCACCGTCCCTCTATTCTTGGGCTGCACATGTGTCCCATGGGCAGTGCCATGTGACAACAACAGGGATGATGTCCAAATTTTCAAAGAGCTGCACAGAAGCATGTACAACAGTGCATAATATGTTTAAAACATAATGCTCAAGGAGCTGTAAGAACAAGACAAGGCTCATTTCCGATGCCTAAGAAACCATTTAAACATCTACACATGGACTATATTGAACTAAACCAATCACAAAATCAACAATATTGTTTAGTCATTGTCTGTGCTTTCAGTAAATGGACTGAAATTCAGTGCTAATGCCAATACTGAGTTCACATGCAAAGTTTTGAAAACAGCGATATTTCCAAGATATGGATTCCCAGAAATTATCTGCTCAGATAATGGGACACATTTTACAGCAGCATGTGTAAGAAGCCTGTTGACAGATTATGGTATTACGCATAAACTACATGCAGCTTACCATCCACAAAGTGCTGGATTGGTAGAAATAGTAGTAATAGCAGTAGCTGATACAGGGAAACCATGGCCACAGTGTTTGGACATGGTACGATTGATTATAAATACAACCAGAAGCTCAAGCACTGGGTTAACTCCAGTTGAATGTATCTTTCACCAACCATTTACTTTTCTACAACTAACTGCATCGTTACCAGAAAATGACAAAAATTATGATTTGCAAGCTTATTTGAGAAATGCTGCAAAAAGAAAAGAACAAATTGAATCTGCCAAAGCTCTCTCTATCCCACAGAAACCTGGACATGACCAGAAGATCCAGGTGGGCGACCTTGTGTTCCTAAAAGCTACACAGAGAACAAAGTGGTCTGACCCACGGTGGAACGGCCCCTACAAGGTCCTTCTAACGAACCTAACCACAGTCCGAATTGCTGAACGACCCTCCTGGATTCACGTAAGCCACTGTAAACTGTTAAGAGCCCAAGAAGCTGAACTACGGACACACACTAATGCTGAAGTCCGGCTACAAAGGGGATATACACATTAGGTGTATGCAGTGAACACAGCTGCCACTATCACAGTAATCATCTCAACCCCGGTGAAGAAATCAACGGGTAGAGCACCCCCTAGTGTGTATTATAAATTGCTCCTTGGCATCCCTTCCGGCAACCAGGACTGTGTGGAATAAGAGGGACATTATGTTTCTTCACCTTTATTGCATTTATTATTGTGTTTCCAATTATGTGGTGGGAATACCAAACAAGAATAAACAATGATAACATGAATGGAACTGCATCTCATCATCATTATTTTCAGAGCAACTCATCTCATCCACTGAGATGAAGGAGGAGAGCTTTGCTGGACAACCCACGACCATGAGGACAATCATTGGTTTTAGGTTGCTAATTTCACAGCAGCAGCACATACTTTAACTGATTGTTATGTTTGTTCTTTTGTTCCAATCTTACTGCTTCTGTGCTACATTTTGCTAAATTTGTTAAAAATGATCCTGAAAAGCATGCTTTAAAAACCATGATTATGCAAAATCGCATGGCATCAGACTTCCTTCTAGCAGAAGCAGAAGGCGTGTGTTAGGAAACTGGGGTATGAACTAACAGCACTTTTTTACAGTCCTATCTAACAGAGAAAGTTTCCTGACAGATCTACAAAAAGAGAACAGTTTTGGAATCACTTGGCCTAGATAGCTTAAAAAAACAAGTAGTCCCACTTTACAAAAGATCTTTCTCACCTACATTTCGGTGCCACCTATTGGACTATTGTGTGCATCACTTACTTATGTAGAAATTAAATTAAATAAATGTTTTTGAGGCCATTCATTTTTATTCTATTATTTCCCCACTCAGAAACCACTCAGCCTGAAAATTGTTAACACACCAATCAGAATTGGGGGTCAATAAATAGAGCTTGGAGGCATGCTCATGTCCTTTGGAACAATGGATCCCAACCAGAGGCAGAGGCAGAGCGTAACACCAAGAGCTATTTTATTTGTGTTTTAAAAAATCTCATTAGGAAGTTGTCAGAGGAACTAAACGGTTGCACAAAGGCCATTATTGTGACAGTGTTAACACATGTGGTATACAGGAAATATATTCAAGGCTTTTTTTTTACAAATATCAATTTAAGAAAAGGCGATTAAAACGATTAACCTTTTTTAATCATTGATTAATTTGAGTTAATTGCATCAAAGCACTAATGATGATTAATCACATTCATAAATAATCATTATTCATACGCAGCCATCTGTGTTCGCACCTGTTTTTGTTTGTGTCTCATTCAAATGATGGCATTATCAATATGACAAAAATATAGAGACAAATATTCAATGTGTATGTATATATTCAAGTTATTTTCAAAGACGGTGGGCAATGAGTCGATTGCAATCTACCAGTAGATTGCAAAGGGAGTACTGTTAGATCATGAGCAATAAATAAATATATAAATGTGTCTCTGTCATTGGTGTGGAACCTCCTGGGCAAGATCGAATCCCAGTTAGAGCCATCCAGTAAGCTCACCACCCACAGGAAGGTGTACAAGGGGCTTGTGCAGTGCAGTGTGATTTGGGTGGCAGTCGTGGAGACTGCTGCCCCCGCAACCCGGTAACGGATAAGCGAATGAAGGTGGATAGATGGATGGATGGATGGATAAATATATAAATAGCGTGCAGTGACCATGTACTGTAAAACAGGGGTCTCCAACCTTTTTGAAACTCTTTGAAACTTCAAGGGTACTTGAAGCGTAACACCAAGAGGTACTTGTTTGATACAGACTTCCCGAACACTAATAATAATCAGTTCTGGGACATACAATAGTAGACACTCTTCTTACCATTGTCATTGAACCCATTTGAATATCATTGCAAGTGGAACTGATTCAAAAAGCACAGTAACAGTACCATTGTTGACCCTCTTGTTGATTAGTTTTATTTTTAGAACATACCCCGCGGGCACCTTAGCTCAGTGTTTCCCAAACTTTTTTGGTCACAAGTCATAAACCTTCTCAACCCAAGTCAATAGACATTATTCGTAAACTCCTGGGCTACATGATGCGAGACATCCCCAAAAAAACCCACCTCTACGTCACGACCCAGTATTTGGGAAACAAAGCCTAGGTAGTCTACAAGGGCTACCAGGTGACCCCAGGGATCATGTTGGTGACCCCTGCTGTAAGAATTGAATCATACTATGCCATACAGCAACATGTATTTTATCAGTATCCCAAAATATAATGTACTGTATTTCCGGACTATAAGGCGCACTTAAAACCTTTTAATTTTCTCAAAAATCGACAGTGCGCCTTATGTATTACTTCTGGCTGTGCTTACTGACCTCGAATCGATTTTATAAAGCCAAACCACACAGCGCATCACACATGATGGCACAGAACTGAAACACACTGGGAGCCATCAATGATGTTTAACTCTGATAATTAACAATTAGAAGATGCTCAACAACAATTGTTACAGTAGGTTGTGTAACCCAAATCTGTGCAACGTCGTGTCGTGCCTCCCAACACCCGAAGACTCCTCTTTGTGTTCATGTATTGTTGATGTATGGTGCGATGCAGGACGACTCAGACGCATGGCTGTCGATTTTTTTGTGGTCAAAAACTCTTTTTATTTCTCCTTTCTTATCAATACAGGCAAAACACACACTCTCTCTGCAAAACAACATACTCACTTCCGCACGGAACAGTGTCAAAACAACAATATGGTGACCATCCAGAACAAAAATAGTGACAACCGCCTGACTTTGGAGGGGCGAACAACAACAACAGCGCCCTCCTGTGTCCAGCTTAGGTCACTACCCTTTTCTACAAATCTCCGTCCCTATTGATCTGCGACTCCATGCGCGCCCATCTCACCGATATTGTCAAAACCCAAGTGACACAAACTAATTCGGGGCTTGCGATTGTTAGATTTCAGTGGTTTTCACATTGGTTTGAGTCTGAAAGCAAGAAGCTGATAAGACACAGATATACATCTCCAATGTAGGAGGATGTAACATATACCTTTGATATGCTAATTGATGCAGCTAAGCGGGTTGAGAACAGCATTGAGCACAGAATAAGATCTTTCACAAACCATGACATGTTTGACAATGAGTATATGGTGAGAGGCCTAGATGTAAGTGTAAACAACCACAGAGTCAAACACAAAGGATCAAGATGGAAAAAAACCCAGACATAGATCTAATGATGTTTGCAGGAAATGTGGTAAACAAGGCCATTGGGCTGGACAGGTAGCCATGGTAGAAATGATACACGTCCAGATAGTGGCTCGGATAGTGAATATGAACGATTTAAGAAATTAAGTGATTGTCAGAGAGCAGTCTTACTTTCTGCGTTCCAGGGAAACTAAGAAAGGCCTCGCTGCGCGCTCTTGCGGCTGCAGTGAGGCCACGTAAGGATGGATTGTATGTGAATACGACCATTAACAATAAGCTTGAGGGTGAGTTTCTGTTGGATACTGGAGCCTAGTTGACGATTTTTCCTCCATCATATTTAAAGGGCGAGTCTTTTCCACTAACACCTGATACCCAGTATGCTTATGGCGCTGGTGGAGAAAGGATGTGTTTTCAGAAAACACAACCTGTGACTTTGTCAGTTGGGTCTACTGAAGTTGTCACTAATTTGTGGATTGGACAGGCATGTCAGCCATTGTTAGGAATGGGTGTGTTGTTACAGCTTGATTCGAGCCTGGAGTTCTCAGAAGGGAAAGTTGCATGGAATCTCAGGAGGCTCCAGAAAGATGGGCTAGCATAGAATCCAAATGATAAGAATGAGTGCACACTTCTAGGTGTGAAGTTTACTGATACCCCAGCTAAAGTGCAGGACAAAGTTGATGGTAAAGAGAATGTGACAGGAGACACTAAGGTTATAGAGGACGCAACTGCCCCAGTGGCTGAAATAGAAACAGCACTGGAAGAGGTAGAGGAGACAAAAACTGAGGCTGCTGTACCTTCTGAAACCGCAGAAGTTATCTCTGCCCCTGAACCTGCAGCAAGTTCCACTGAGAGTGTCAGACAGTTAGGCAGTAAGGTATCAAAGAAAGAGTCACCTCTCTCTTTGAGAAAGCTCATCCAAAAACGCAGGAAGAAGCAAACTTTTATTGAAACAGTGGAGGAGGACTCAGACACCCCTGATGTGGCTCCTCTCTCAGAGTATGATAATCAAGTGGTGGCTCAACAGGAAGCACCAGCAGAACCAGCTGTAAGCCAGCTTCAAGTTCCTGCTTAAGAAAGATCCCTCTCAGGGATTGAAATGCAAATAGAAATGTTTGTGGATGAATGTGTACTGTTGTGCTTTTCTTGTTTGTTACAGACAAAAACACAAGGAGGCAAGAGGATATGAGAGGAGACCAACACTTGCCAGATGTACTAAACGCATTACGACAATCCCGGTGATGATGATGATGATGAACTCCATCTTGCAAAACACCCATGCTGGGTGTGCGGACTACTGCCAACGTTGGAAACATCATTCACAACCCTCCGGGCAGGTGGAAAGATTGAACTGGACAATACAAGAGAAACTACTAGCAACAGGAGGTTGCCATATTCACAGCTTGCAGAGCAAATGTCGCTGTCTGGTCATCAGGGCAGTTGATGAATTTTTCCCACAGGGTTTCGCCCCTGCCTGTGAATAAGGAACATTTACAAAACCACTATATGATCAATGATGATTTAAAAAAAGTACAAAACCACTATACGATCAATGAAATTGATGATCATTAATGTTTGATTTATGATCAGATGGGGGATTGTCAGATTTCAGTGGTTTTCACATTGGTTTAAGTCTGAAAGTAAGAAGCTGATAAGACACTTACTGAATCATGGAGCAGCAGTGCCACATAGTGGTGACTGCAGGCACAACTATGATACAATAACAATAATATGATTGGCCACAAGAGGCCTAACCTCTCCTTTCCATTGGAATGTACTGTATCTGATACAGTAACCCCCACATAACAGTACAATGTATCACCAATGGTACACGTGCCATAGTTTGAGGACCACTAACCCCAAGACGGCTTTGGGTTGAAGAAGTACAGCTAATAACTGCAGTAAGGCAGATGAATGTGTTTTGTAACGGTTTAAGGAACTCATTTGTTCATTCTTCAAAAATGAAAGAAAAAAAATATATTCTTCAGTAAATTCTTGTTTTATTTTCAGAACTATGAGTCAAACAACGCCTCCCTCTTCTTACACAAACAAAGGCTGAGCACGAGGTAAGGCAGCGCTAATATTCTTGATAAAGGAGATGACATCTTCACTTTCTCCTTCTCCCTCATGTTGGTGTAGGCTCTGACCCACCAGACTTTATAAATAGAGTGTTTGGATGCAGACAAACTCACATCTAATCTGTTTTTGTCTCCCAGGTTGGACACCCACAAGCCACGATCTCCACTCCTTTACACGGATGGTGAACACATTTATGTTACTGTATCAGAGTGTGTGCTGGGCGGGGAAAAAAAAGAGAGAGAGAGAAAATTAGGTCCCAGTGGCAATCGCTAGGGGGCAGTATTATTCTTTGTGACCTTATCTGTGAGCCTGGCTGTGCATACATAATGCTTTTAGTGAGGAGGAAAAGTCAGCAGCATCGTTCACTGTCTTAACCCTTGTGCGGTCCTTCGCATTTTTGTACACACCATTTGTCCTTGCAATGATTTTCATCTTTTCCTAGAATATGAGTATCAATGAATATGAGGAAAAGTTGGCACAAGTCATGCAGTACAGGAACATGCACATGCACGCATACTCACGCACGCACACACACACACACACACACATACACAAAGACATATTGGGCCTAGGTGACCCCTGGGTCCGAAGGACTTTACAAGGGTTAAAAAAAATATATGAAAATGTATTATAGTAATAAAAGACCAACTCTGGGCTGGATTTGTTTCTGTCGCAACCTTTTTTTCTTTTACTGTTAAGAGAGAAAGAGAGAGCTCTTTCACTTTGACTTGATGGATTTAACTCTCATTAAACGGGACAGAGTTGAGGCACTGGGGGAGCGATTCGCTCTTCCTTCCTTTCATCTGTAGAAGTACTGCATCTCTCCTCTGCACACAGACAGTGTACACATAAATAGATGTTTCTAAAACGTTCCCCCTCTCTCCACCGTCCTCTCTATTGAGTCTAAGCACACACACATGCAGGCTTTCACCACTCATTTCCCTCCTGCTCCTCCTCTCTCCCTCATCATCCCCTCTCTAGATGGCTGTAGCTAACAACCCCAGGGCCGGTGGGATATATTAGCTAGGTCTGTGGTTGGCGCCCCCCACCCCCCATCACAGAGGCAGAAGAAAGGTTTCAATGCACAACTATCCATTTGATTGCCCATGTGATAAAATAATATGGCTGCTGGAAGTGGGAGATGAGGGGGAGGACAA